GAAGTTATCCATTGGCTTAAAATTTTGAGCAACCCTAACAAGGGGATATGTAAAATCAGACTGCAACAATACACAATATGGAATGTCGGTCATGGATCGTCACTCACATATTGGGTTTCAAGTATTGCGAATATCATGATCCGAGATTGAAATCCGAATTACTGTTAGAAAACACACCCGGGCGGTAAGCTGGAGATCAGAATCCGAGTCGGTGTAATAAAACACAGCGGAATCGAGGAGTGGGATTCGCCCGGTTCGGCCGCCAAGACCAGAGGGAGTTACCCTACCCAACAGCCCCCAACCACCACCTACGCCCCTGCCATCACGACCACCACCCCCGGTACCTACATATTTGACGATGGCGATGGACTCGGGGCGGCCTATTTAATCCGTATGCACGGAATCGGGAATTATGGGGTGACGGTTCCTGGGCAACCTCAAAATCCTGTCCGACATTCTCCTACTAGACTGCAACAATACACAATATGGAATGTCGGTCATGGATCGTCACTCACATATTGGGTTTCAAGTATTGCGAATATCATGGTCCAACATTGAAATCCGAATTACTGTTAGAAAACACACCCGGGCGGTAAGCTGACGACCAGAATCCGAGTCGGTGCAATAAAACACACCGGAGTCGAGGAGTCACGGTGGGATTCGTCCGATACGGTAACCCTGAGGTCGGAATCCGAAATTCATGTATTCCATCGAAGCGGAGGATGGGGAAACTCGGCATCGTTAAATTTCGAGCTCCGTCATGATCGTGGGCTTGGGGCGGTGCAATCGGTACCATGCAGGCATCGATCGTGGTACCCGACCGGTGAGTGACGGTGCCGGAAGTGCTCTAGGACAGGTCGCCAAGACTCACAGTGAGTTACCCTACCCAACAACCCCAACCACCACCTACGCCGCTGCCATCACGACCACCACCCCCGGTACCTACATATTTGACGATGGCGATGGACTCGGGGCGGCCTATTTAATCCGTAAGCACGGAATTGGGAATTGTGTGGCGACGGTTCCTGGGCAACCTCAAAATCCTGTCCCACATTCTCCTACTAGACTGCAACAATACACAATATGGAATGTCGGTCATGGATCGTCACTCACATATTGGGTTTCAAGTATTGCGAATATCATGGTCCAACATTGAAATCCGAATTACTGTTAGAAAACACACCCGGGCGGTAAGCTGACGACCAGAATCCGAGTCGGTGCAATAAAACACACCGGAGTCGAGGAGTCACGGTGGGATTCGTCCGATACGGTAACCCTGAGGTCGGAATCCGAAATTCATGTATTCCATCGAAGCGGAGGATGGGGAAACTCGGCATCGTTAAATTTCGAGCTCCGTCATGATCGTGGGCTTGGGGCGGTGCAATCGGTACCATGCAGGCATCGATCGTGGTACCCGACCGGTGAGTGACGGTGCCGGAAGTGCTCTAGGACAGGTCGCCAAGACTCACAGTGAGTTACCCTACCCAACAACCCCCAACCACCACCTACGCCGCTGCCATCACGACCACCACCCCGGTACCTACATATTTGACGATGGCGATGGACTCGGGGCGGCCTATTTAATCCGTAAGCACGGAATTGGGAATTGTGTGGCGACGGTTCCTGGGCAACCTCAAAATCCTGTCCCACATTCTCCTACTAGATTGCAACAATACACAAATCTGTATTTGATGGGGGTTGACATTTGTATTTGGGTGGTTAGGGTTATGAGTAGTAATCTGGAATTGAAATTCAGAAATGTTTGTTTGGTGGAGAGTGAAGCTGGGCTGTGGGTAGTTAGGGTTACGAGCATCCCTCTCGAATGGTAATACATAAATGTGTATTCGATGGGGGTTGACATTTGTATTTGGGTGGTTAGGGTTATGAGTAGTAATCTGGAATTGAAATTCACAAATCTGTATTTGGTGGAGATTGGAGCTGGGCTGTGGGTAGTTAGGGTTACGAGCATCTCTCTGGAATGGTAATACAGAAATGTGTATTTGTTGGAGGTTGAAATTGAGTTCAATTTCGGGCGCTGTCATTATCGTGGGCTTGAGCCGGTGCTTTCGGTCCCATGCTGGCATCGATCATGGTACCCAACCGGTAAGTGACGGCGCCGGAAGTGCTCCAGCACAGCCCGCCAAGACTCACAGGGAGTTACCCTACCCAACAGCCCCCAACCACCACCTACGCCCCTGCCATCACGACCACGACCCCCGGTACCTACATATTTGACGATGGCGATGGGCTCGGAGCGGCCTATTTAATCTGTAGGCACGGAATCGGGAATTGTGGGGCGACGGTTCCCGGGCAACCTCAAAATCCTGTCCGACATTCTCCTACTAGACTGCAACAATACACAATATGGAATGTCGGTCATGGATCGTCACTCACATATTGGGTTTCAAGTATTGCGAATATCATGATCCGAGATTGAAATCCGAATTACTGTTAGAAAACACACTCGGGCGGTAAGCTGGAGATCAGAATCCGAGTCGGTGTAATAAAACACAGCGGAATCGAGGAGTGGGATTCGCCCGGTTCGGCCGCCAAGACCAGAGGGAGTTACCCTACCCAACAGCCCCAACCACCACCTACGCCCCTGCCATCACGACCACCACCCCCGGTACCTACATATTTGACGATGGCGATGGACTCGGGGCGGCCTATTTAATCCGTATGCACGGAATCGGGAATTATGGGGTGACGGTTCCTGGGCAACCTCAAAATCCTGTCCGACATTCTCCTACTAGAACTAACCCTAACTAACCCTAACTAACCCTAACTAACCCCTAACTAACCCTAACTAACCCTAACTAACCCTAACTAACCCTAGGTGCTGACCACTTTTGTTTGACTGCTCCTAAAACTGGTATTTTTTTTGTACTAGCTTCAATGCCTCCTCCCCGCAATTTAGCTTTGTTTTGATGCAGTTTTGTAAAAAATTTCGGCTTTCCGACTTGTTACTTGAGTTAATGTACAATATGGTGCCTACTTGCTATCGATACTGGGTAATTTAGTACACAATTGGCACCAAGTAGATTCAATTAAATCTCCGTTGTACAGCTATTTGGGACTCGATCTAGCCATTGTTTGGTTCCTACAGCAGTGTTCGTAAAGTTATCTAAATCTAATAGTAGATGCAAGCAGAAGGTGGTAATCAAAGTAGCAGGTAAGGTACCGACAGCTGAGGTATGAAGGGGGAATCCTCACAGTATGATCTGTCAAATTTAATATCATTCGCCACTGACCAAGGAATCAGAACTAGGTTACGGCATATATCGTATTTCAGATCACCCAAATAAGCAAAGCATGATTGGTCATCTCAGATATTGGTTAACAATGGTAGGTGGAAACAACAGGGAGCATGGAGAGCCCAGATTAGTGGCATTAGTGCACCGTTGACAGCTAATTATATATGACTCCATTGTTTTTTACTGATCTGGATTCGTTGGCGGAGAGTTGGTGGTGCAAGCCCGGGCTATGAATGTGTAGGCTGTGGAGGTGAGAGTTATACCTGAGAAAGTAGTGAAACCTTGCAAATTTATATGTATTGCAGGTGCAAACTTGCTTTCGGTCAGGACGCAATGCATCCATACAGGTAAAACAATCGCTTCACGACGCTTGTTCTAGGAGGCAAAAGCAAGTCAACCGTACGTCCCCTATATATCAAAGGGGAAGTGGGTGAAGGGGACTGTACAGCACGTAGAACTGCATAGTATAGGGGTTTCCGTGCTTTTGGGGATGGGGGGGGCTAACCTTAACCCTAAGTTCACCCCATCAGAAATGAGTATAATGCAGTACCGGACGCGCTTTTGAGATTTCCAGATGCAGCGGGCTTCTCCTTGTCTCTGAAAGCTTTGAGTTTCCGTCAATTTTTGTTCGTGTTGCGTTTTGTGTATTCTCCATTCTTGCTGCACCAAGTGTATGTGGTATCCCGATTTCCTATTTCCTTGTCACGTGCCTTCCTGACTTTATTTTTGTTTCCGTATCCTGGGTTTCCTTGCTTGATAGTATAGGCTTCTCCAGTGGCGTTTCCATCATTGTTGCGCCGTGAGTCCAGATCCAACAGCTTTTCGTAAACATTATCGAAGGTGAGGTTAGGCTTGGTTTGCAGATTGTCAAGCACTGATCCGAGGGATTCGTGCTAGAGTGTGAGGAGAAGAAAGCATGTCTTCGCTTCTGAAACAAATGCGAGTTGGTGAAGGTAATAACTGAGTGGATCCTCGGTCTTCTCTGTATACCTAATAGTTCTAGTGAGGAGAGATGATCAAAGAGGGTTGAACTGGGTGAAATGTTCCTTGATACCCTTGTCGGATGTGTGCTGTAGGGTGACGACTTTAGCAAGGAGCGAGTGAAGGGAAGCGATGGTTTTCCGATCGAATCTGTCCTTAAGTTGAGTCCAAAGTTGATGGGCAGTGTTGGCCGGTGTCAGTGTGAGAATAACTTCGAATTTGAAGTCAGATTGGAGGAATACGACCGCTATGTTATCCTTTTTGTCCCAGTCACTTATTTTTCGGCATTGTCGGAGGTTTCTTATTCATTTTCTTCAGCCTCAGCAGCGCTTCCTGGAGCTTGTCGTGTCGTGGTGGATACAGTAGTGGTGGTGGTCATTACGGGACGCTTACTCGAACCATTGACCAAATTCCACAGATCGTGAACTTTCAAAATACGGGTAGCAAGGTCCCTCCATACAGTGTAATGGTCTTGACTATCTGGCTTGCATGGGAGTGCGGGAATTTTGATTCTCCTCTGAGACATGATTGAGAGTAAAAGGAGAAAGTATATCTTGTGGTAAAAATTGTGAAGAGTGTATAAGGATAAGTGGTCTCCGGGCTCATAATCCAGAGAAAGTATGTAGGAGAAATAAAGTAATTGATCGTGTTGATTGCTCTAGCTAAGAGGGAATGCCCCATAGTTATACCAAATGAAAGGTAGTACAAAGGAAATAGAATGAGTCATGGATGTGTGAGTAATAAAATAACTAATAGCAAAGTGAGTCATGAGTGAATCATACGCCAATGACAAATACTGTAATGAAATGGTGAGAATCCTCCAATACTATGAAACGTGCCGAGCGCCCTATTTCAAGACATATCACCCACATCAACGCTCTCTTTGTGACCTCTTGCATTTTCTTATTTTCTTCGCTTCTGATTTCTTCCCAGATTTGAGAATATGTCCCCTCCAGAGTCCTTGGAGTTTTCCCCAATCTCTCAATGATGTCGCCCTCAGACCTGAAATGATACAGTTGTTTGATCTGTAGGTAGCCCCATTGGAACCTTTGAATGTTAGTCAATAAATAAGTTGCACAAAGCTATTCAAAACTTACATTTCATTGGCGTGACGTTCACTGGTCTCAACACTAAGTGCTTTCAGTTTTTCTGGGGCTTCACCAGTAAGTAACAGTCGATTTTCGGTTGCACTTTCCAGCTCCCTCATGACGTAGCGGGTATTATCTCCACGGTTGTCCGTCGCTTCAATATACATATTTGGTACATCCTCAAGCTTCAACCTGATTTCAAGGTTGTCTCTACTCGAAACAAACACCTTTACCAAGCTAGGCGATTGCACTATGAGCTTCTGCAAGGAGGATATTAATGTCCAACGCTTGTCTTGATAAACCTCATCTAAAGCGTCGATTATGATGGTTGTTTGTGGGTGTATATCGAGGAGCGACACAATCAGCTTTTCACATTCCGACAGTCTCAGAGCACCGTCTGCTAGCCCTTCTTTCTCCCGACCCTTATATTCTTGGACGACCACTTCTGGTAGTTGGTCATCTCCAGGAAGCACAACAGAGAGTTGCTTAACAATGGCACGCATTACAACCTCTGGCGTCCGGCGTTGGGACTCGTTACGATTACAGTAGAAATATACCACAGGCTCGTATTTATGACATAATGACGTCAAATGGTCTATAACCATGCACCTATGGACTAGTCAGCTTAACGCTACATCTCGTGAATGAGGATCTTGTACGTGAGTTTCGTCTTCACTGCACCCGCTGTAAAGACTGTCAGTACCGTATAGAGATGGTCTACTGGACCACTTACGCATGCCCCGAAGCCACAGAATACCCGAGGCGCTGGAGTTTTGCCAATTCCGAAACTCCGGCCTATCGATTAGCCATTGTCCAGTCCGATCCAAAAGGCCTTTTTTGGCCTGATTGTGATGTTCAATATATCTAGCATCGCAGACCCACTGCAATATCTTCAATCTCTCCTGCCCTGGATTTTTTTGACTGGTTAGTCCAGATTCTTACTGTGAGATATACCTCGGGAATGCACTTTTATTGAATCCTTCAATCTCGTTGTACATGGATGCTAGGCCAAGATCGATCCTTGAAATGGGGGCTCCTAGCCTTTTCAAAAACGCCATCATCTCATTGTGCTGGCCTACCACTGTTATTTATTACGCGGTAGTCTCTCTGGGTCCTATATACTTTACCTTCAACTACACCATATTCGTGCATCTGGACTTGACAACCACCACCAGTAAGTACATAGGATGGGAACAAGCAGGTATAGCAAACTTACTCTCTCTATCAGCAGTTCTAAGCTCCATATCCAAGAGCCTTTCTCTCTCCTCCATCGTCTCAAACAGCGATTTCCCTCCTTCCATGTCGCTTAGAAATCATCAGCCATCGGAAAACTCCACTGGGACGAGAGGCCTGCTTCAAAACATACAAGTCGTAGATCTCCCGAGCTGTTGTTTTGCGCAAGCAAGGAACTGAAGTACAGAATAATAGAGCTCGACCAATGATTCTTCCAAATTTCCCGGCCGGTGATGACTACCTTCGACCTCAGATAAAGCTCCTCATGAACCGAATTTCTCACTAACAATCCTGCAATTCTCTCCAGGCCGACCATAACGACACCCATCGCTTCACGATCATTAAGGGCAATCTATTGTATTATTAGAACCACCGAATTTATCGCTCGCCACCACACATACCTGCAGTACAAGTCGTATCCCGGCCCAAGGTAATGCCGCGTGCGACGGGTCGTAAGAAACCACGACATCGCCGATGTTCTTGAACTTATCAACCCAATCAAGTAGCTTATCAGCGAGATCCCGGACAATGATTTCCTTGCCTCGGAACTTGAACTTCCATCTATTTTCCTGGCAGATATTTCTTTGCGCCGTGATAGCGTCGAGCAGTTCCTGAGAAAAGCGTTCTCCGTTGCTGTCGATGAAAATAAATACCTTTGCCTCGCTTTCCGATAGCTTATCAAAAGCTTGCTTCCATAAGGAATGGGCTTGATTAACAGTAGGGGGTGCAATCGGAGGGCCGGTGCTTGTCACGGCCTAGTTAACGATGATATCAGCAGGTGAACATTAAGATATAATAGGTACAACTCTCGAGTAGGTACCTGATTTAAAGTATTGGTGTTTAATCCACCTGGTTGTTGGGCTATCCTAGGAGGACACGGGGGTCCATTGACTGTAATAGAAGGTATGGATCCAGGCAGGGGGAGAATACCATGCCAAACTACAGATTGAGTCTGTCCAGCCTGTCCGGCTATGGACGGGACTTCCAAAGATGATGGTGCAGCATCCCGGGTATGGGCGATGTTATTGCTCAGCAAGGGTGGGATATGGGGAGGTGTCTGTAGTTTTCCTGCGGCCGAGACAGGTCTTGGGGTCGGTACTGAGCCTTGCGCACTCGAGGATTGCAGGGCTGTTGTCGAAGCAGTGGCAGGAGATGGGGTGGGTTGTAGTGAAGAAGATTGGCTGCGCCAATGAAATAAGCTTTTGAACTTCTCAGTGGTACGGCCTATTTTATCGCGATATCGCCGTTGTACTCGAACGGTTATTGTAGCAAGGCTGAAATAATTGTCACCTGGAGAATGCGGGGTTATTGGCGCATAATACCTTGCTTTTGTGTAACAAGGCCACGATTAGTAAGTGGAGTCCTTGGCAGTTTAAATTAGACGAGAGGAAAATATCCTATTAGCTACTATCCTAGTGCCAAGCGTTGTAGTATAGAGGTCCTCTCTTCTTGCAACATAAGTGTAACTGGGTATATTACCAGATTGCAACTTTAAAGGGGGAGATGTCACAGTCACCTGAAGCCAGTCAGTAGAACCCTCAAGGGGTGCTTTCTTGTTTCTTGGCGATCTCATTAGTAATAGTGCAGACGTTGTGAGTCTTTCGACTTCTGGTCACAATTTGGGTCGTTGTCGTTACCGACAGGGTATACGACTTGTCCGGTGGGGTATGAATATATCTATCATCGGTTCACTCGGGATAACTTTGACAAGACTGAGCTGCGGAGTTCGGGGAATGATACTATATGTAATGGAGGGGATAATTCATATTTCATGAGAACTATCCACTTAGCAGCCTCGAGTAGCTCGCTCTGTTTGCGTCCATCCCCTAAAGTCTCTCGCGGTAGGTCTAGACGCCTTGAGGCGATACCTCGAGTATCCGTCCCCCGTGGACCACAATAGCTCACCCTCTTCCAATTATAACTACTCCTCGTATTCTATCCCGGTGTCCAAAACGAGCTCTAGGGATATTCCACTATTGGCTGGTCAATCGAGGGTGGCACTGAGCGCAATTCCCCAAAATTCTAGCTACATCGGTAGAGAAAAGAGCGAGTCAAGACTTACAAGACGATTAATCCATTCCCGGCTAGACGCTGCTCTGGTCTTGGTAAGAAATAATGCGAGTGACAGACCATGACGGATCCCTGGTGGGCGAAGGGCCTGTGATTTGTGGGGCGTTGTGCGCAGTATTCTGTCAAATCATTTAATGGGTTTAATGAAGGTGGTGGTAGAAAAAGAGGTTCTAATTTAGTTTGATGAGTACAATATAGACAACAGCGGCCGCCGTATCTGGTTGGATCACATGTAAGGGTTCATTGATTGGTAATGCAGTTTTGGGACCACGTTCTTGCTCATGAAATAAGAGCAACCAATTTTTTCAGCCGTTGAAATGGAGCATTAAATACAACAAGTTTAAGTGCATGAAAAGTAAGAGGTTGGCGGGATTCGTGATTTTGATAAGAACGTTTCTGAACCTATTGCTAAACCCTAACCCAAAATAGGAGCTTGTAACATGCCTCCGGAAAGCGCGGGTGCGGACGGCCACATCGCAAGGTGACTGCAAAGTGACTTCTAGGTTAGCTGTGAAAGGCTAAAAGATATGGAAACCCCTTGTGTAATTTCCTGCGATCGATTGAAAACAAGAGTGAGGATGTTGCAGGATCGAAAGAAACCAACCAAGCGAGACAGGCGAGAAATAAAGGCTTGGCACAGGGCTAGGGTTGGGGATATAGCAAAAATTCTTGACACTCCTCTGAGCGCCCGTCAAGGAGTCATCTATATGAATTTCTGTGTATTTGGCAAATCAAAGACTATGATTGGCACAGAACAAAAAATTCGAAAACATATTGGTTGGACCTGTGGCATCTAGTCATTAGGACATTTATACTATGTAAGAAATGTAGTACTTCTAACTGCACCGCCGACATACCTCAAATAATAAACATGAATTATACGAAAGACGACATGCGAACTACTCTGGTCTCTACTGAAGCTTTCTGCAAGAGGGAAGTAGTACTAAAACCGCCTCTTCTCTCATTCCTCCACCTATATAGTCCCACTATCGCGCCGGCCCCGAAGGTAAGACTTGCATGAGCAATTGCTCCCCACTGTCCTACTTTCGCCATACACTCCCCCCGTGGCCAGCCATGAATCGATAACATATGTCCTTCCAGACAAGTGATGACGTTCAAGAGGGCAAGCAACACAAGTACCTGTAATGCGAGAACGATTGCAAATACAACCCCGCCCGAACACCATATATAAATCTTCGAGGCGGACAGTCGTTGAGTCAATTTTAGTGGGCCTTCTTTATATACTGCGCACGTAAGTCCCATGATTATATTGAGAGGAAGAATTGCCATTGAGGTCTTTAGTGCTAAGGAAAAACTCTCAGAATAGCTTCCCCAGTAAGGCTGTTGTTGAACTCTTAACGATATCCCTGCAGGACACGCCGTTCGATCCTCCACAATATGTACTTTAGTTCCACATACTATGAAACCAGCGAGTGTCCCCGCTGTCAGCAACATGATCCACAGACCTACGATCAGCCTCGAACTTTCGTTTGCTCTCCGAATGGAGGATGACCACATGAGGAGAAAACAGGCAGCAAGAGTACTGAACATGGTTATGGCCAACGTTGGAAAGATGTCAGGGTCAAGGAAATGCGACTCGCGACTTTTTGCTGCGATCGAAAAGGAATCGATGCATGCCGTGGCGCTGTAAAGCATGACGGTAACGAGGTTCGAACCTACAAGCCAGTCCAACTTGTGCAGGAATGCACAAATGATCAGGAGCAAGTAGAGGAGGTAGCGAGGCGTGACCCCATAAGTACCGGAGATCGGGTAAGTGCAAATATACTCCCCAGGTTGCCCTTCATCGGGGGAGAAGCTAAATGAAGCCACGAAGTTGAGGAGAGAAACACCCCTCATAATAAGAAGCTATTGAGTTTGAAAGGGTTAGGAATCGGTGATGTGATGAGAAGTATTATGTTGGTGTCTAGGATGCATATAGCGACCTCTAAACAAAGATGAGTACGTTGGTAGGTGCGTGGAGGAAGCCGGTCGCCCAATTGTTGTCGAGCGCAATGGGAGGGACGTTGGATGAAGTATTAAAATTATAGGTATGATATAGGAACTATCGTATATGGTCAAGAGAATGAGTGTTGATAGTGGATTGTCTTTGTCTCTTTAACGAGTATTTGGTTAACTGCTTGGTCTTATAGCTATACACCTAACAAGTGCTTCCGAGGGCCTTCTTTTTTTATTGCACTTTACGAGTATGACTTTTCTCAACGATCGGTGTCAAGCGGCCACAACGTTGTGGTCTGTGCAACGTTTCCACCTATAAAAATTTCAAACTCGAGTATATACGTACGACAACAGCCACATTTTAGCGGACAGGCACGTATAAAGGTCAAACCATATCTAATACGGAACATGGGCCGGGCCTTGGATTTCCTGATGAGAACCAGGCCGGGCAGACATGTTTTTGGGCCGGTAGACAAGATTGGTATATAGGCCAGGCAAGGCCTCGCTTCAGCACAATTTGTCCATATGTAATCAGAAGCCCAGGTATTCGCTTTAGGCATATTCTCCCCAGGCTCACTAGCCATGGCCCATATCCGAAATAACACAATTCATGATATATAGGGCAAGCATAACTCTCAAATTACAGGTTCAAATGGACTTCTTTCACTTAGGGGGCTGTGTAGACTGACGTATTCATGCTTTTGGTAGGATTTGGGGAATATGACCAGATGGTTACACTACAGGAAGGCGCACAGAACACACGATGCCCTGACCAATCGCATGATAACCGTTAGACTCCTCCAGGTGGCTGTCCCAGTAACCCGGGAGGCGGGAATGTGCGTCCCCTTCGCTTAAATAGATCTACACCTTTAGAGGCAGAGATCTTCAATAAAACAGCCCTCTTCTGCAGGATCTAAACTAAATGTAGTTTAACAGCTGAGCTTGGCAACCCCCCGAATAACTCGAGATTTAGCGGTATAGAGCAATAGGCCACCCGCGGACTGTACCAATTGGATGAGAGATGACACAATCCCAAAGAGGGAATGGATCGATGCCAATAACTACCACCTGGACCATCCACTCAATTTTAGAATTTTCCCTTACTATGGCTCGAGAGGCTATGGTGGGTAGGTGTGTAAACTTCGGCGTTTGTAGCCAATCAATCTATAGGAATTGGGAGATCTACCCCCATAATGGTACTAGCGCCTAGCCTGACGGTGGGATTTTCTCTAATTCCCATACAAAAAAGTTCCTCTGAAGTTGACACACCCACCCGCTATGCCTTCTCGTGCCATAGTATTTCGCTGACGTTTTTGAACTGGGCCATTATTGCATACACCCAAAACCATGAGCTTGGCGTATTTTTGTATGGCATGCAATATCGGTCGCGTCCACGAACGTCAGAGAAATACGAGTAGAGTGAGCTGTCTGGCGGCATAACTAAAGTAACAGATCACACAGCATGCATCTTGGAGGCTCTACTAGCGATGCCGGAAACATTATTGATCATGTGACCCTCGTATTGGTGTGAAGCTTTGGATTTGTGAAGGCAACCGATCACATGATCAATAATGTTTCCGGCACCGCTAGTATTATTTGAACTGCAATGTTTAAGCTTGCACGGTGAGATCAAGCTCACGCCATCTTAGGGATAAGCCTTTACGTGGAGCAGGGTTTTCCGGCAGGGCGATCCGTACTAGTCCACTCTTCGTCCAGTCCAACCACACCCTGTGCTGCGAGCCCACCCCCTGTATCACGGGTCCACTGTCAAATACTTAAATTGTTTGCCTGAATTTCTGCTGAAAATGGTCATTTGATGGTCGGGGTGGTGGATACTGCTTTCTAATTTGCCCAATGAATGCTGAGCCTTGGGCGCAACCGCCAGAAGACCAAGTCGCTCTAAACGAGAGGGACAGAGTATCGATTTACCTAGTGCGAATTGTGGCGATATCAGACTGGTCAACAATCACATGTCTAGCTTTGGATCTGTCGGAGCGTCTTCCAAGTGAGCCTCCAAGTTATTCGGTCTTGGCGTTGTTTCACAAAAAGAACAATTTGCCAAGTGTTTATATTGATCTGCCAAGGTATTGATCGTTGAATACCTCTACGATACCGGTTGCGCGATAGAACAATTACTCATTGGTTTAAACATACCGTCCATTGGTACCCAATTCCCGTTGAGAGATCGTAACTCTAGCTCTTTACGGTGCAGCCTTCACGCATTGCGCATACCGTAAGCCCGATGGGTCTCCTCATGGCCAGGCTATTGCCAGTAGGGAGGCTGGGGGATATACTACATATGCGAATCAGGATCTTAATTGCTGCCATATAAAGATGCTTCAGAATGGAGTGTTCGTCCAAACACTGTAACGGCTACGTGTAGTGAGGTATGGTAATCGGCGAGGCGGTGTGAATGTCGACGGAGAACGGTCTTGGCAATAAATCTACACGTCATCATTAAGAGGACGAGGCTACTCTACCCCACTATTAAAACCCTATCAAGAATCGAGCCACACACCACACAAATATAAATAGATGGGGTTACGGTGAGTCGTACTGTGAAGGGGGGTCCACTCGCCGTTTTTATGGGCAACGACATTTGAGAGAGTGAGCTACAGCTTGCGGTAAGATTATTGTAGAAATATGGGAGGAGTCCTATTGGCTTGCCCAGCCACAGAAACCCTATTTTTAGACCCCTGTTTCTACAATAATTTTACCTCTCGCTGTACAATGTTTTCCACATATTAGCGATGGGCTGATCGATATCTAGCCTAGTTATTTAGTGCAGAGAGAACCGGAGACTGGACCGCCGCGGGGATTGGCGGTGGGCGAATCACACCACGAGTCGAAGTTGGGGTTGAGATTCGCATATGACAGAATTTTGAATGCGTCGGGGAAATCGTAATTATGGAGTGGCGCTAAGTATAATTCATCACACCTGATTATCGGGTCTTATCCGCCGCTACTAAAAAGATAGAATCTAGCTTCGAAGAAGTGGCATGAACAGACAAGCACTCTAGTATATGTAGTAAAGCATGTTACTATGGTTGGTTACGATCGTTTTAAGCAACCGTCGGTTGTAACACACAGAAGAGAAAGTCTAGTAA